ATTTTATGTTATATATTATAGAGATAAGCATTATAAATAATAGATATACTTTATCCGAAACATAGGAAAATCATAGTTTAAAAATTACTTAAAAAAAAAACTATACTTATATTTCTTTATATATTATATTATAACTATACTTATATTATATTTATTATTTGAATATAAGTGTTTAAAAATTCATTAAATATATATGTATTGCATATGCGAAATATGGTTAGGTTAGATTAGATTATAATTTTTTGGAAATATATTTGGAAATGGAAATAAATTATATGCAATATATATATATTATTTTAATCAAAGTTTTTTATTTACATAGGTGAATGAAGAGAGAGGAATTCATCCATCTAGAATATTTAAAAAATCTAATCTAATCTAATCAATTTATTATAATTATTATCGCAATTATCGCAATTACAAATACATTTATAATTTCATTTTTAAATATTTATATTCAAATAATGTAATAATTTATACAATATTTTTTTTATAACTTTTAAATTGCAATTGTTTCATGCCTTAAACAAAGAACATGTTACTCACGTTCTTTTCTTCTATACATATCCAAAATTTCGCAAAATTGGTATTGAGATCACCTTTTGTAAATAATTGTTCAAACAAAATTTACCAAAAAAAAAAAAAAATTGAACAGAATTTATGTCAAGCATTAAATTTTTAACATTAAATTTTCTATTGCTTATTTTATTTTTTGTAAATGCATTGTTCCCAATTTTTTTTGCCTTTATTATGATCTTGAACCAATTTCTACGATATTTGTATGAATTTTTTACAAATCAATAAATCAAATTAATAAATGTTCATCACTACACTATAATGTAACAATAAGAATCTTATTTATCTAACTACTATATCTAAGCACCAGTTAATATCAAATTATATGAAGACTAATTAAAAAATTGAAATAAATCAAGTTATTGTTTTCTTTATAAGTTTATGCTTAGATTATATATACTTATAAACACAATTTGTATAGAGATTCATAAATCAAATTGAACAAAGATAATAGGAAAAATGTAACATCACTTAAGACAAATGATAATTCAAAATGGTGGACACTGAATCAAACATATGCTAAAAACAGTTACATGAAGTTATATATTTATCTGTGAATTTTAAAAATTTTATAATTAATTTTAATTATTAATGATGATGCAACAAAAATATGTTATATGAAAAATTGTAAAAAACAATAAAAATGTAATACTCATATATATTTCATAATATCTCAATCTCGAATCTTATATAAGAAATAAACATTAAAATTATTTTACCTTAAAATCAATAAATATAAATAATATCTAGAAAAAAAAAATAATATCTCTAAAAATAATATCTAGAAAAAAATTATTTATAATTATTTATATTATAATATAAATCATATATTATAATTATAAATATATTTTTATAAATATTTTTTTTCTAGATATTTTTTACTATATTTTTAAAATAAAATAAATTATAGATTAAATAGATTATCAACAGTTAAAATTTCATTTTTTCGAAATTATTAAATTTATATTTAAATTTATATAATATAAGATATATATTGTAATAAGCATATTTAAAATTATTTATTATTTATATTTAAAATTATAAGAATAAAATAAAAATTAACAAATATAATAAAGCAAAATAAAATTTATATTTTTAATAATAATTAATAATAATTAAATTGCATTTCATAAATATTTTGAATACTTTGAAAGTAAAAAATTTTTTTTTTAATTTTCATTTAATTTTCATGATTTTGTCCAAATGTATGATTTTGTCTTTACTTCAAGATAATTATCTGAAATTGTGTCTATAAATATATATATTTAGAATTCCATATGTTATTAGTTCTTTTATACATTCTTTTTTCTATGTTGGTACTGAAACATTCGAAAATTCCTAGTCTATTAAAATGATACGATTCATATATTTACTTCGTAAGATATTCAATTTTTAATTTATAATTTAAAAATATGGTATTATTTTTTTTCGTAAAATTATAATATTATAAATTACTCTCATATTTCATAAATATATACTATTTGAGAAAATAATAATAATATATACTAAAAACTGATATTCAAGTTTTTTTATTCATTACTTAAGCAAAAAAAGTATAATATATAAATTGAATAATAAAACAATATTTCGTAACATTTTTGTAATGAATTTCAAAATAAAAAAAAAAAAAAACGAAAGCTAAAGCAAAAAAAGAAAAGAATAAGAAAATGAAAAAAGAAAAGGAAAAGAAAAAGAAAAACAAATATAAAATATAATTTAAAAAAGACGCTAAAATTTTAATACTTTCCTGCACAGTGGTTTTGTAATGCATGTAGACACTGGTTAGGCAAATAGACTATAAGTCTAGCAATGCATGCTGGTTCTACAGCATCATATCGTACTGTAAGAATAGTTGCAGCGGCGTTCCGCTTGCTGCCTATAAGTCGCCATTGTTTCTTAAAGTGAGCAAATGAATAAACGAACAAAGAGACTAAAATCAACGTACAATAGTGAATATTGTATTTCCTTATCAATAAAAATTAATCAAAAATTAAGAATAATAAATAGCATGTTCTATGCTTTAAATTTTATGTTATTTTCTTATTTATTTATGTAGAATTAAAAAATCGACAAAAGAATTTAGAAATCGCATTTTGAAAGAAAATGCATTCAATATTTATTTTTTAATTAGTGATGCTTCTATAATTTCTGCAGTGATAATAATGGTGCTAAGTGTTGTGTTCTTCCATGCTAGAATCAGTGAAAGAAAAATCTTAATAGACAATCTAATTGTATTTAATGTGTTTCTTTGATTGCTAATTAATTAAATTAATTATCGCGGGAAAAACTTTTAACAATTAAAAAATCAAATTTCTTGTGGTTATTCATTATTTTTTTTTTTTTTTAAAATTATTGTTTACATAGTGATAAAAATTTCGTAATTATTATTTATTATTGTTATATTATAATCTGCTTGAACGAAATTCGAACAATTTTTTTTATATCTAAAAATTGAATTTTCATTTTGTGGAACATTATGTGATATTCTCTAGACCTTGCTATTTGCTTCCTCCATCATTTTCACATTTGTAATGATCAATATAAAAAGGTTAGTATTGCTAATATCAATAATAAAAATAAAATAATGAATTTAATTATTCAAAATGAAAATTTGAATTATTTTATTTTGATAAATAGATTTAATTAAATTGGGATCAATATATATCCTAATATTAATACAAGCTCGATGAAACATATTTTGATAAATATAACAATAATATATGTTAAGATAATGTTCTTTTAGAAATAAAATATAAAAATTAAAAAGAATATAGAAATTAAAAAATGTAATTTTTTAATCTTTAGAGATAATAAACAAGACTAATAAATGGAGCAAAAATTTGACATTTAGAGTTTAGACATTGGTATGCGCAGATCCATTCCTATTCGCGCATCATTCGAATAATAGGATATGAAAAGATATATACAATTCGCGGTAAAGAAAACATTGAACGAAACCAATTGAAACACGTGTACTTTGCTAAATAATGCATTATTCTCGGAAGTTTTCCCTATATCTGTCAAATTCTTTACATACATTTTTTTCAATCATTGACAATTGTAATGAACATTTCCTTACATTTATTTATTTCATATTATTATGATTTTTTTATTTCAAAAAAATATATGTAATAAAAAATAATATAATGTAACAGTAATTTATTTAAATTGTGATATTGCGGAAATTTTAACAATTTAAAATATATATAAAATAAATATATATATATTTATAAATAGATAATACATATTTTTATAAATAGTTGAAATCATTGTTTGTTGTATATATACTATCATCATTTTATGATATTTTAATTATATAATATACTAATTTATATAATATACTAAAATTTAGATTATATATAGAAAAAAATTTTTTGTGGATGAATAAGTAAAAGTGATTAAATTATTTTATAATGATATCAAATAACAAAAGCAATAATAATAATAACAAAGATTATTTATTGTCTATTATGTTCAATTATTTATAATATCTATTTATTATTTCAGAATGCAAGAATTTTTTTTATATCAAGAAAAACGTTTTTGTTATATGACAACAATGTTAATATTGTTGCTATTATATCTAAGTGATGTACATTTTGCAAATGGTAAGTGTGTATAGAAATTGTTTGTATCAAATCAAATGTAAAGCAAAAATATTTTAAAGAATATTATGTTTTATTGAATTGCAGAAAAATAATTAATTCTTGTTATCTTTATAATCTTATATAATAGAATAATTTATTTTTCTTTTTTATAAGTTATTATATAACAATATGTGAGATTATATGTTTGACAATATATTAAGACAACAGAATTATATTACATATATTAAGACAATAGAAAACAATTAAAAAGTTTAAATTTTTATTTAATAGATAATGATGTTTGCTTAAATATTCAATTGCATTTTTATTTTTGAAGAAGTTGAACATTTATAAAAAAAATTCATAATTAAAATGACATTCACAATTAAAGAAATAATTGAAAGAATAATGTTTTAAAAAATTATCTTAGGCTCATGTGAATTTCCCATTGCATGGACTGGAGAATGGTATCAATATGGAAAACCAGTATCAATTACTGTAAATACAACATTTCTGGGTGAAAGGATGTGTGTAGAACGGTCAGAACATTCTTATATTGTATAGTAAGTATTGCAATATTTTTGAGAATAAATAAATAGAAAAAGATTAATATACAAGGTATAAGCAAAATTGCAAAACAAAATTATATAATCATTATATAATATTTCAGCGGTGATAATTGCTATTATTGTATAATTGTTAATGATCGACATGAGAATGTGATTCAATTTCGTGAAGGTAAATCTAAATTTCTTTGCAAGAAATGTATGTATTATAATTTGATATTTTATTTCTCAAATGTAATTTATTTTCTTTTTTCTGTCAGGATGGTGCAATGCTGAACAAACCACTTTGGATGATATGTGCTCAAATACAATTAAATCTGATGATACTTTATATTCAATGTTTCGTGTTAATTCCAAACCAATACCCTGCCCTTTTAGTGGACCATCATTTACATTTACCTATGATAAAGGTTTTGGTGAATGTGCAATGCCTATTAGTCTTGGAGAAAAATGCACTGATGAAAGTAAATTGCTTCTTAAATATCAGGCTTGTCCAGATATTGAACGAAGTGAAAGTAACAGTAAGCTCAATGTTATTGTTATGAATTAACTATTGGATTATTATTATAAAAATAAATTTCTTGAATAAGTATATTTTTATATTATTATTTTTATTGATGAATGCATTTTTTTCATATTTTAGCGGAAGAATTACAATGTCTTGCTGTATGGAACGATGGTCGTAATAAATATCTTGTTGGAACGTTGAAAGGAAGAAGTATATCGGGTGCCGAAAAAACATATAGGTACATACTATATATAGAATAGACCAAGACAAATTGATACAATAAAATTATTTGCACATTTTATATGTATAACTAGATTATAGTATATATATCAATATATACTATATATTATAAATATACTATATACTATATTTACTATATATATATTTTATATTACATTTTATATTTATATTAATATTTATATTTTATATTTTATATTACATATATATATATATATACTATAAATATACTATATACTATACATATATATTTTTTATTTAATTGCTGTTTATAATAAAATGTCAATATTATACAATCATTTTCATTTTTATAGAAAAAAATTTTTATATCGATTTTGCAATCTGTTTAGATATATTACATAAAATTTTATATTTCAAATTATTCTATTCTTTACATTGAAAATAAATTTTTTTTTATTTTATTCATATATAACATATTTTTAAAAATGAAGATATTTTTATGTAATAACTTTCTCTGGGGCATATTGATACATCTTCTTTGAAGTATGTTGTATCAATTTGTTCCAATTATCTCTAATTAGATTTTTTCTTTTTTTTCTAGAAAAATGGTTTACACAATTATATAAAGAATATTGTGATGAAATATTCTAAGATATTTTTGACAAAGCTTATACTACAAAAGAAGGTTCATTATCAAAATGCAAATATATATAAAACAAATAAGATGATTTTATTAAGACATATTAATAAAAAAATAGAAATCCTGATATAAAAAAATAAATTATTCAAAATATTATCAAATTTTAAATAATAATTTAGAACATAAATTATAATTATATTGTAATCAACATGACTGAAGTAATATATTTTAAGTAATAAAAATAGTTATTAACTGATGGAATAATATAGATATTTTACATATGTATTAACATTTAATAACAGAGCAGTATCAACTTGTCCTGCTATGGGGTAAGTTGATGCATTTTGATTTCATTAAATAAAAATTTTCTAATTTATTTTATATGTATTTTTTCAAATATTCATTTATATAGAAGAGCCAATATTTTAATATATTTTTTATTAGGTAATTAATTTAAACAAAAAATTGAGAAAATTAAAAACTGAGAAATGTATCAACTTGTCTCGGTCTTTCTTATATGCATGAGTATTATTAGTCATTATTAATATAACAAAAATTGCTTTTCATATTCAATATCAATTTTTTTAATTTTTTTCAATTAGATGTTTTCTATATGAAGAGAAAATGCATCATCAAGGAAAAGTAGTTTATTTACTCGCTCAATCAGGCGAGCCAACTTGTAACGGCTTAACTACTGTTTCTGAAGGATCACCAACTATAAAACTTACAAAAGGTATATAAAAATTTTTAATTTTAATCAAGAATTTTAATTTTTTATGCTATTTATAGTTGATAAAGAGCACAACAGATGTAAATATCCTTCATGGATTACTGAACATCATGACTGGCGTTCTTTGGATGGTTCTAAAATTTATCATTTCACAAATAAAAATGCAACACTTAAAATTAAAATACAAAAAGTCGATGGAGATATGTTTCATGAAGAAAAGATTGTCTGTCATAATTTAGAAAAATTATATTCAACAGAAAATTCACAAGGATATAAAGTAAAGTTAATCGCTCATGTTACTAGTGGATGGTAAGTAGTAATTATAGCATGTTATAGATCTAAAACTATAATAAGAATAATGTAATAAGAATACTCTGTTACAGTGATATTGGTTATGTTTGTATGATATTTCACAAAAGAGATCATCACATTATAGAATTACAACAATCAAGTAAGTTCAACTTGACATTTTATTTTTTAAATACTTGAACTATATTATTTTACTATTTTAAATATTAAACATTTTTAGATCAAAAAGCTATAATGCCAGATGAAGCATGTTCTCTTATAGATACATCTACAATGCCATATACCACTTTAATAAGTAAGTAACTTGAAATTTAAAATAAGAGCATATCTACTAAAATCATATTTTAAAATATTCAATGTTTCTTTTATTTATAAAATTGTTATATTTATGAAAATAAATATAAAATAAATAGTATATGAATTTTATATATATATATATATAAAGATAATAAAAATTTTTTTTATTTTAATAAAAAATAAAAAAATTTCTAAATCATTTTAAAAAATGATTTTGGTCACGCTTTCTCCGAATTTTCTTATATTCTTTATATCAAAATTTCATTTCATTTTATATTAAAAGTAATATATTACGTATATTACGTATATAATATCTTACTAAATTCACATTTAAATAAATATAATATAATAAAAATATACGGACTATTCATAAAAATATGAGACATCTTTAGAAGATGGATTCTAGATATCAAAAAGTTCATATGTATCTATATTCGGTTTAACGAGATTTATTATTAACGATTATATTAACGAGATATAAGCATTTTAAATTTGTATTAAATAGAATGAGAATGCTCAATTAAACGTG